CATTTGATGTGTAAATAAGCAGTGAGACGAATAACAAATGTCGCATTTTAACATTACCGCTTAAAGTAACTGCCATGTAATAAATGTTTAGTGAGCACAACTAGGGCTAATTTGACTCGCCTCAATTGTTGAGTATTCACAAACTCAGGCCCAGGAGTCCAGAGGGAGACAAAACATCGAACAGGGCCATTAAGGCAAATATCATCTTTAGATGTCTATTTAACTTGATGGTAGTTTGTACAAAAAGGTGTGAATATTGTGTGTGTGAAGCATGTTGAAACTCATCTTTTCCTTGCTTTATTTGCAAAAGCGCTGGAAATATCGCTATCCCTCTTAAGAATAGACACCTGGTATAACCAAATTCTGGGTTAAAAAAACAACACCCCCCCATCCCGCCCCGCCCTCAAATCCTAATATTTAGAAGAAAGCATAAGATCTAAGAAATCACTGCATTGGCAATGGGCAGGAATGTACTTATGTAAACAAATTTCTTCCCATATGAATTCTCTTCTCTTTGGTATGATATTTCTCTGGAAGTGTATGCATATGATTGAAGAACTCAGCAGACATAACCCAGGTTCTTTCCACAATAACTCCATACATTCTTTGGGTTCTATGAGAGAAGCTGGCTCAAGTAGAAAATGTAAGTAGGATTCAGCTTAAGCAAGCCTCACTGTAGAAGACAAGGTAATCTTCAATGCTCTATTCATTGGCTCCCCATTATCTACCAAAGAATACTGTATGCAGTTCCTTAACCTGCTCTTCAAAGATTGCCACGACCACTCACTTCATGTTGGTTATGAACATACTGCAAAGACTTTGCTCACAAAACTTCGCTTTTCTCTGATCATGCTGAATATGTTTGAACTACTGAATGAATGAACTAGAATTATATTTAATTTCCAAATTCTTTAAAATTTGGAATGACCTCTGTTCCAGGAACCACACAGTTTAACAAGGGAAAGCAGAACAAAGGGCTGAGGAAGGGCCCAGAAGGATTGGCACAGGAGCCCAGGTGCTCAGTGCAAGGCCATGTAGTCCATGCAAACAGTCCAGGTGACCCAAGGGCACTGCCACCTGTGTATAGCAGTGAGCAGAGGGTTCAGTGGCCAGGCTGAGGTCTGTGAACCTTATCTGTGTCTCACATGTCACTCTCACTGGTTGCTTTTGGCCTTTCAAGTGAAGGAAGTATCAGATAACCAAAATAAAGAAGACAGGAGAACAGGATTATTAGTCAAAACTCAAAGTGTAAGAGCTAAAGAGAGTATCTTCTGGCTGCCACAGGTTAAATTTTTTCATATAAATATATTGGCATAAAGAATAATTCCTGGGTACATTCCATTTGTCCTTTGTTTCCTCCCTTGTATGATTGTATTATTATTGATGTCATTAAAAGTGCATTCATCAGGCCAGGCTGTCAGAGAGTTGCACTTATTTTGTGCCCACAGGCAGTTTTGAGGTAAATCTCTTGCTTTAGGGCATTAGCTGATCAATACAGACATCTATAGTGAGGGATTGTTTTCCCACCTCCCCTCTGCATGAAGTCACTCTGGATGGAATGGGGAGACCAAGAAGAAGACGCTCCTACAAAAGAACCTACCTTTCGCAGTCCCCTGCCTTCTCAGGAATGGGCAGCTGGTCCAAAGAAAGGCCATGGAAGAAAATGGCAACTGCTGATCACCCCTAGCTCTGCCATTTTTTCGGCTTATTCACTCTGCTTTCTTAGTTTTCGGTCTGATCTCAAGTCTTATTTTATCTTTGAAGTTCACGGGACCAACATTCCTGCAGCCCAAGGTCAAAACCTCCCTGTTATCACCTTTATTTACCTATAAGTAGGAGTTTGTCTTACTCATTTCTGTATATTGGAGACTTAGCAGTGACAATACACTGGGAAGGTGGTCAATATTGCTGAACTGAATGCTTCAAATGTGAGTTTAATGTTTTGTTTTTTTTCTCTCTATTCAAAGATCTCCCCGTCCCCTCTCTCCTTTCCTTCCCCCAACTCACGTCACCTTCTCCTCCCACTAATTCAGCCACAACTATCTGCTAACTACCTAAATTGACTCTGGATTCATTCAGATACACTCAGGTATTCTATCAATTTCATCTTCTTGGAGATGTCTTCTAGAGTCTTCTTACCAACTCCAATCTGAACTGATTGTCCTCTTCACCCAGGATATAGAGGAGACCCTGGGACCTCACCTCATCATCCTGGAAGATTCCTTCTTTCTCTGTGTCAGACCATCTGTTTCTTGGATCCTCTGTGGCCCTTTGGTTTAGTTCATTCTCTCCCTTTGGTCCTCCAATATTTCCCTTATAAAGTGTACATGAAAGGTAAATTTTTTAGGCTTTGCATGTTGAAAATATCTTTATTCTGTCTACTAACTTAATTAATGGTTTGGTCAAGATATAGACTGCTACATTGGAAATTATTTTTCCTCAGAATTTTGAAGGCATTGTTTTATTTTCTTCCAATATCTCACATTGCTATTGAGAAGTTGTATTCTTGATCCTTTCTTCGTATGTAACCTTTTTTTTCTCTCTAAATGCTTTTATGATCCTCTCTTTCTTTGTTCTCGGGGTTCTGATATTTCACCATGATGTGACTTGGGAGTTTACCTGCAGTAACTGTGCTGGCAACAGATCGTGACAGAGACAGGTTCCAGAGTCTCACTCTTTGGTTTCAAATCCACTGCCACCATTCACTAGCTTACTGACTTCAAGCAAGCTATTCAACCTCTGTACCTCAGTCTCCTCATCTTAAAATGGAAATAATAGTACCTACCCACAAGATTGTTTTGAGAATTAAATGAATTAGTATCTGTTAAATGCTGAAAACAGCACTTACCACTTAGTGCTATTTTAAGCATTAGCTTTTACTAATATTTCAAATATGAAAAATAATCTAGAGTTCTGCAGACTTTCTTCGACCCTCTGTTTTGAATGTGAATGTTGGCCCTGAGCAGGGCGATGTTTGTGTAGGGGAAGAGGTGGTTCAGTCTCTGATGTGAGATGAATTTCAATGAAGTAAGGCTGATAAAGAAACAAGTAACTGTTATTGCTGGTAAGGCAACCCTAGCCTGTGGTTCTCAGCTCAAGATGGGAGGAATAAACACAATCTTTAAGATAATCTGGCCACTCCAATTTAGGAGTCAGGTATGCTCCGTAAAAGGGTGTTTTCATTTTTCAATCTAAAAGGAAATAGCATGACATAGATTCAGAATTAAATTAAGAAAAATGGGAGGATGCTTTGGAAGTTCTCAGTGTTTCTATGAATGAGAAATATCTGGTGAGGATGTTTTCATTGTTACTCCTTATTAATGAGTAACGTTATTATCCCAGACCAACACACAAGCATTTCCTAATTTCTATACCAGGAAATCAAACAGATGTTTCCCTCCCTTCTAGGAATTTGAAATTTTTAACATATTAAGAGTAAACAGACTCACACTCAGAATGATCTGCTGGTAACAGGAATGGTGATTCTGGGTAAGTAAGAGCCCCAGTTAATGAAGGAAAACTACTTCACATAATTCTGAATAATACATTTAGAATAAAATTTTCTTTTAAATAACCATTTTGCACCACTCTCGTGAAAAAATTGACTCAAAGATCATTAACAGATGCTAAAACCACTAGTTGAAAGGGATTGGAGAAAGGGGCATTTACATGGTGACAAGTATTGTATGTAGAATACTTACGACTTGCAAAGAGATTTTTCCTTTACAGTGAAGAAATACACTGTCACTAGATGATTCCAGTAATTGAACACATTACTAATAGTGAGACAAACCCAACAGGTGGATCCCAGCATAATAAATATGAAAATACATTGATATATTTCATCTGTGAAATATATTGGCCAAAATTTTTACCCTGAGTCTAATTAAGCTTTTAGATCTAACTTGTCTTAGAAAGGAGGAGCTAGCGGAACCCATCACATGATACCATGAGGAAAACATTGGGTGAATCCAGAACGTGGGGCATTTCATTCTACAACTAGCTTTATCTTTTCAAAAAGGGGTCAGGGCAAGGAGACTGGTCTAGATTATGAGATTTAAAAGACATACTCATATGTAATACATGATCTGTAATTAGATTTTGGTCGGAAAAACTCTAAGATATTTTTGGCATGAACTGGAGAGATTTTAATATAGACACGTTATGCCATCAGTGTTAGTTCTGTTAGGTGTAATAATAGTATTGCGGTATGTAAGGAAATACCCTTTTCGGAGGGGAAGTGCATGCAGAAGCATTTAGGGGTGGGATTTTATGATATAACTTACTTTGAAATAATTTAGCTAAATAGATATGAAGCAGATATAGCAAATGTTAACTGTTGTTGAATCAAGATGGGAGGTTTAAGGATATTCATTGTTTTATTCTACTTTCCTATTTGTTTGAAAATTTTATATTAAGAAATTTAGGGAAACGGCTCACAGATACAAAATTGCATAAACCTGGCATGACAGCATTTTGGAAGGAGCACGAATGAGTGTCTGAAGCGCCACATTTGCATTGGACACCCGGAAGGAGCATTCGCTCTCTGAGTTCACCAGAGCAATGGAGTGAGATAGTCATTCGCTCCAGAATGTATGAGAATCTTGGAAGAATTAATGTACTTCCCAGAGTGCTCAAGTCATTGTCAGGAATAATTTACTCACTGGCAGGATAGGACTGAATAATTCATGTTACGACTTCAATGGGAATGCTCATTGTTTGGTTGCTGTTAGTTGGATTATTTCCCCCAAAATTAAGTCACTTGATATTACCTCCTTTACATCAGGTGTTTTGGGGATGTATTTTCTTTCCTTTTCTTAACCAATTCTTTCTCCCAAACAGCATGAAGTAATTGCCCTATCCACTCAGGCATAGAGGTAGAGTTAACAGTTAAAATGCAGAACTGCTCCCTGCAGTGCAAAATTGTTCTTAAACTATAGTTGTCACTTAGGAAGTGAGTTCACTGCCCCAACCAGTTCCTGTTTGTGACATGATTTCAGGGAGCTGGACTGTGCCATGTTACGCCGCCTGGAGAAGAGGATTCTGGTTGACCTCCCCAGCCCGGAGGCCAGGCAGGCCATGATCCGCCACTGGCTGCCCCCCGTGAGCCAGAGCAGAGCCCTGGAGCTGCGCACAGAGCTGGAGTACAGCGTGCTGAGTCAGGTAAGCTGCCCTGCAGGGAGGAACCACAAGACACCTTCTAGGCAGGGTCTCCTCATGAGCTGTTCGGAGCCTCTTCCTTGAATCACTTAGAAAAGATCCAAACTCTCTAGCAATGCAATGGGCTTCTTCTTCACGAAAGAACGAGCTCTTTGCCACTTGGAGATGTTCAAGCAGAGAGAAACAATGCGATGTAGTGAAAATAGCACAGGGTTTAGACTCAGAGAACCTATGGCCCTGTGTGACCTCAGGGGAATGACTTATTCTCTGAGCCTCAGCTTCTTCATCTGTAAAATAGGTAACAGATCCACCGCAAAGGATTACTGTGATGATTAAATGAGTCTTTCACAAATGGAAGAGCTCTAGGTCTGTTACCCCTACTGTCACTGATATCATTGCCTCCACTGAGTGGACACTTGAACATGTTCTCTGAGGTTCCTCAAAGGCAGGTAAGAGCTTACTTACAAGAACAAAAGTGTCTATTAAATTTGATCATCATTGGATTTAGGCACAGGGCCCTATTAGGCTATGTTGGATGGTCCAGTCCTTCACCAGCATCTTACAACATACATTTGGAGTTAGAAAGTTGTTTATTGACCAGCTTCTTAAGTTATCCAAACCTAAGAGAGAGGCCCCTCTCACCCCAAACACTCTCTATCTGGGAATCTTTGTATAGTGTTCATGGGGGCAGATGCAGAATCTAAACCCGGACTCCGTTACCGGGTCCTGCCTATAAGGATGTAATCACCACCAGCGTTCTACGTGCTGACCAATAATGTCTAGTTTGTGGCTGTTTCAGGAGACTGAGGGCTATTCAGGCTCAGACATTAAGCTGGTCTGCAGGGAAGCAGCTATGCGGCCTGTGAGGAAGATCTTCAATGCACTTGAAAATCATCAGTCAGGTACATATGGGATCAAAGCACAGGTGTTCTGAGAGGGAAATTTGTGTTTAAAAATCCACCTTTCACCAGCAGATGGAGCCTTGCTCCTGTTCTTGGTGGCTCTTTACATTTGAACACGTTCTTTGGTCAAATTGTCCTTCCAGCACTCAACCCATCCCTACTCTGGTGTTCTGCTTTTGATCAACTTTGCCCCCAGATAAACTTAGGGCTTGGGCTTTTATTTCTCTGGCATACTATGATGTTGGGCTGGATCAACTGCGGCACTATATAAATATTAAATAATACTTTGATAATGATACCTTTAAGTCACTTTTTTTTTTTTTTGGTCTGGGCTGCATGGGCTGAGTTGCACATTAAAGAAATTTTATTCCCCAGCCCTCTTTAGTCTTGTCTTTTCTGCATTAACCATTAAGAATGCTGCATTATGCATTGTCTTGAAAGAAGGTCTATTAGCATTTCAAGAGCATTGATCATAAGGTCGATTGTTATGCCGTTTACTGTTGTGTTTTTATCTAGAGAGCAGCACTCTACCTAGGATCCAGCTGGATACAGTGACCACTGCCGACTTTTTGGATGTGCTAGCTCACACCAAGCCTTCAGCAAAAAACCTGACTCAGAGATACTCGGCGTGGCAAAGTGAGTTCGAGTCTGTTTGAAATCATATTTACCCTGACCTGGCCACAAAGACAACCACAGAGGCCTCCTGGTTTATTACTGTAAGTGAGAGAAGAACATAATGATTAGAATAGAAAAGAAAATTATTCTTAAAGACCGGATTAATTTGGACAACTGTATTGTTTTGGAAATGTGAGATTTCTTTGTTAATTTCATGATTGATATCAGCGAAATAGTGACGATTTCAATTACAGTTGTATATGTTATTAGGTCAGGCAGTGGAGACTTTTCTTACAATTAGACTCTGTAAAATTTTGACGAACAATTTCTTGCAATGTTCCTCATTCGTGAATTGGTGTTTTCATTTTGAAGAAAAAGATGTAGTAAGGAAAGAGGTGTTGGAATGCCCAGGGGAGCATTGAGCTGGGGAGCCAATCAGAAGCTAGGCTTGGCAGACCATCTGGCCAGCTGACAGTTCAAGGGTGGATAAGGATGGGAGCAGGGAAGGAAATGTAGTTTGTTGCTTCTGACAATATTCTGAATCTCATCAGTTCTCCCTAATTCTGACCTCAACCAGTGATATCGGCAGCAACCCGCTACCAAGCTATGCCCCCTCGGATATGTCACTGACCCATCTCTAGACATGACTGTTTTGAGTCTAGAGCTAATTGCAGTGGTGACTAGCACATCACCAATAGCTACCAGTTTGAGCATTTTGAGTTCTGGCCCCTAATAACATCTTTCAACTTTTCACATCTCACGCCCCTGGTGCTCTGCCCTTCCTTTTCCATTACCATACCTCATTGGATCCAGAGCTCAGGGTAGGGTACCCAAGCTTCTAGAGCTGTCATCCTGAGTCTCCCCTGCTCTTAGGCTCCTCCACATCTCCTTGTAGGTTATAAACAGCTAGAAGCATCTCCCTCAGAAGTCTATAATCTGAGAGGAATCTACTTTCAACTCTCGATACATTTTGAAGGCTTTCACTAGATAATGCCACCCCTATCCCCACCTAGAACTTACCTACAGTAAGTCACCTTCTTTTCTCTTCCTTTGCCTTGTTTTCTTCATCCCTGCAAGACACAATCCTCCTCTGAAGAAAAACTTCCAGGAAAAGGACATTTTGGATAAATATTCTAAAAGATGGTACCCTTTTAAACAAAAACAAAGCATTTGGGGGGTATTATTTCAAGCAGATATCCTCAAATGCCTCTTAAAATGTCATTTCATGGAAAAGGCAGTCAAATTGAAAACATGCCTAACATAATGAATTTGACGTAAAAAGATTTCACCTTAGGATATGCTAAACTTAAGCTTCGTGATCATTAGGTATTATACTATGCTGCACTAGTGATACCTAGATGAATAGGTCTCTAAACTAAATGGCCTCAGACTGGCCTCACTCTTCTTTTGGGTTGTTTTCTTGATGAGGCTTCCAGCTGTCATTTCTTGTAGCTGTTGGTCCTTTTGCTTGTGGCCACTACCATCTTTTCTGATTTCATAAAATCTCAATTGAATGGAATCTCAGCTGTTGCTGTTTATGAGCCGTAGTTGGAAAGTAGGCAAGTTTGCACTGTAGGTGTGCTTAGGAGTGAACAGGTGACAAGGCGGAGGAGACAGTCCTGTGGGTAACTGCTTTGTGACAAGACATTGGGGCCCTTTTAGCTTACTGCCCATTCCTGATTCCAGGGTAAGTGTGGTTTTGCCATCCCTCACAGTGAAGACATGCCATCTTCCTCTACTTCCAAAAGCCCACACGCAGCCTGCTGTGTACTCGACACCATGTCCACGCACTTCCTCCATTTCTTTTAATTTCCAAGTTCACCTTTGTAATACTTCTACCTCTATTCAATCTCATAGTCAACCCTCCTCTCCTCTTTCCTTTTTGTCTCCAAATAATTATGTATGTATGTTTTTAGGTCATGCTTTTATTATAGTGGCTTTTTAAAAAACCAGTTTTTTACATTAAAATGACTTCTTTAGATGAAATAAAATGTAGCTCTTCATCCCTCTGCCTTGTCCCCCCCCCACATATTTGGGTCTTCCCCCATCATCCCAAATAGTTATATTACAATTTTAGGTTAACTAAAAAATCACTATTTCCATGATAACTTATTCATGAATCAGGATTACGTTTTCTTTTTTGGTGTTTTGTCTTTCCTGGCATTAATAACTGCCTTTTTTTTTTTTCATTTGCTTCATTTTCTAAGTAACTTTTTTTTTTTTCTGTAACACATCCTCAGCTCTGTCAAATACCCATCGGTATTATTTTCCAAATGGCCAAGTATCAAGTAAGTTTTCCATTCCATGCCCTCTGGTCCTGGTGTTGTAAGGGGAAGGGAACCGAGGACCACTGTATGTACCTAATCCCCATTTTCTGCCTTGCATCTCACCCTGGCCCACCACCATGCTCACTGTCCCCAAGGCCTTAACTTTTATGGTTTCACTTTTTCAGAAAGTAAACCTCCATTCTTCTGCCCAGGTTGGGGTGCTCACTTGGCTGCTCAAGATGGGGAGAGTTTCCGAGGACTCCAACCATTTCGTTTACCAGCTTTAAACCGATTCCTTGCTTCTCAACCCTGCCTCAGACCTCGCTTCCTCTCTCCGTAGTGTTTCCTATAGCCTTGGGATTTTGAGATTGTTCTACAGGATGAATTTTGGTTGTCTTTTCTTTGTGCTGATTTTAATTATCCAACCACTTACCATCTTCCAAAATTTTTGTATCCACTCGTCCACTGTTATCTCCTCTAACACTCTCTTGTGGGTTTATAACTTCTCTCTTTCCTCTTATTTTAGTGGAGCTTTGAGAAAGAGGCCAGCGGACACACATGATTAACTTACTATGTTTAGAATCTCTGGTTATTTTTCTAGAGTAAATTAAAAGTATATCTAAATTTATAGGGATACAGGAGATTGGTCTGTCAGTTGTTGGGGAAAATTTAATCTAATCCAACGGAGGTCACAACTCAAATGCCTACAGGAACTTGGAATGTAATAACGTATGAGTAAAGTAAGATGAGTGTAAGACAAGGAAGAGGTAGGGACTGGGGTGAAGTGGAGAGGGCCAAAACTATCAGAAGGACACAGCAGTGACTCAGTTCCCACGGAATGTAGAAATTTGAACATAACACTGCCAGATCATCCACTCTTCCTAGGAAAACCAATAATTGCTCTACATTTGAAATTCTCCTGATATTTGGATGTCGGCAACTAAGGTTAAGTATCTGCCTATAGAATTCTGACTTGTTCCTCACTTCATTTAGGTCACCATCAGAAGCCTTCTCAGATGGGCCATACTCATCTAAAATAACTCCCTCGTTCTTATTGGCTTTATTCATCTCTATCACTCAGCAATTTCTCTATTTTATTGTTATGTGTGTTTTATTTATATACCCTACTCAAATGTTAATACCATGCTTGTGATACTTTTTTCATTGCTACTGAATGAATTAAACATTCTTTAAAATGGCACAAGCAAAAGAATATAAGCATTGTACCTGCTTCACAGGCTAGACATTATTATTAGTGTCCAAAGCACTCAGCTCATTGCGCATGACCTCTTCTCTGAGAAGACTTAAACTGTCTTGAACTTGTCAGTGCCCTTTGGACCGTTAGATATATTTTTATATGCATCGCTTTCCAACCAGAATATATGCATCTAAGAAGTTGGAGCTACATTCTGCTCTGTCTTCCTTAGTGCGTTACCCACAGTGGGTATTTAATAAATAGCTCGATTTTCTCAGGCACATCAGCCAGTGAAACAAACAGGTGTTGAGATGTATATGTCATGAAAGTAAACACTGAAAAATGTAAGGTAATCAAAACTGTTTGATTTTCACAGATATGCAATTTAGATCATGAAAATTCCTGGTGCTCAGGTGCCTTGCTCTACTTCAAGAGAGCAGCGTGCTTTGGGATAGTAGGCCTTGAGAAGGTAGGTAGTAGGGCAGTAGGCTGGCATTAATACAAAGTCAGCAAAGGCCTCGTGCATTTATGCTGAAAAAGACTTCTGTGACTTATGTCAAAGAAACCCGACAATGCAAACATGGCTCTATGCAAACAACTTCATAGGAAAAAGGAATTCTACTATCTGAGGCGGAGTGTTTTAGTTTAACAGACTGTGCAATTTTTAAAATTCTTCATTACAGGTGTCCAAAGACTTCAGTTTCATATTATATGAGCAACCACTGATCTAAAACAGATTAAACACAACCCGTGCAGGGATGCTTTTGACTTACCTGTCCGTCCAATATGCTACTATTTTTTTTTTAAATGTGGAATTAAGGGTGAGGTTCTAAGGGAATTTTTGACATCCATAGTACAGGTGTTTGATGCAACTGTCACTTAGGGTGAGTCCCTTCCCTTTCCTAGGCATTAGTCAGCTCTGAGAGATGTGAAATGGTAGGTAGAGCTGCAAAACCAGCGGATTCTGGAGGTGAGAGTAGAGCAGAGCAACAACCGTGTGCCTCCTCCACTGGACTGGTGCTTTGCCCACCTCCACATCTATCATGTACCTGGCTCATGGCAGATGCTCAATAACCATCTCCTGACAAGGTGGGCTTTCTAGTCCTAAGATGTCATTTGGTCCCTTTCCTGGGCCCAGGACAGGATTATTGTAAACCTGATGCAAACACTGTCCTTGAGGTAAGATTGAAGAGATGGAAATGGGAGAGATAGAAAATGAAGTCCTTTAGATGTTTCGGTTATTAAATTTCCTCCACAAGGCCCAAAACAGACCAACCAGCTGAGCTGGGAATATTGATACTAACCTGGATCTAAATCAAGATTTTTATTTATTCTCACGAACTTCACCGTGGACAGGTCAGTTAGCAAGCCTTATATAATGTTTGTTAAATCAATAGAATATCAAACTAAGATTTTAATGGTCCACAGGGCCAAACCAGAATGGAGGAAAGTAGAAAAGCTGTTTTCCTGGGCTGGATACGTCATGCTCAAGTGATCTCACCCATTCCTGTCACTCTATTTAACTCCTGACCACCAGTGATGCCCACCTCTTTGCTTTAGCTCTAACCTGTCTCCAGAGCACTGGATCTATTATTTCCAAGTGTCTAAAGAGGCCTCCCCCATAGAAACAAATCTACAATAAACCTTATTTTCTCCTCCTTTCCCACAGCTGTACCTTCTGGCATTAAATTCCTATAATATTTACAGCTATTTTTTATTGGTTCAGTAACCATCTGAGTGCTAGCTGTTTTATAGCAGACAGTTAAAGAAATGAGACACAGTCCAGCCTGGTGGGGAAAAGAGACGTGTAAAGGCCTAACAAGTGCTATGTGGGCTTAAAGGAGGGAACACTTTGCTTCATCCCGCAGTCAGAATGATATCACAGAGCAGGGATGAAGTATTCATAATACCTTGTATATTCTCCTTGGCGGCTCAACCAGTAAGGGTTTTCAAGGCAAAATCCTTTTCTTATATGCTTATTTCCTAGCCTGGCACTTAGCATGGAGCAACTGGCAAACAACGAATCACTGACCCAGGCACACACAGTAACAGGCCAAAGTTAAATGTAGCTCATCTGCCAGGCACCAAGCAGTGCTCTCTACCTGCACACTGAGCTTCTCTCTCTGTGCAGCCTTGCCCTGAGGGAGTTTAAATGTAGCAGAATGTCTCTTTTTTTAATCTTCACGAAGACTTTCCCCATTGAATTGACTGTAGAGATGTCTACCCTTTTCAGATTAACTGTGGACACTCCTGCTACCTCTGCACCATCATCACCACAAATGAATAGCACTTAACATTTGCTGAATTCTAATTACTTAATATATGGATCATTCATTTAACCCTCACAACAAGCCTATGCGGTGGGCACTACTGTTATCTGCATTTTAAAGATAAAAGAGGCATGAAAGGCTAGGTGACTTTCCCAGGGTCATGGGGCTAGTTAAGTGATGGTGAGGCTCCCAAATCTATGCTCTCTGACACTCCACTCATCTTCTTGGGGTGGTGGTCCTGTCACATCTATCTTTTGCACTCTAGGATGTTTAAGTACTAAGTTGGGGCATCTGCAAAAATAAGAACAGAGTGCTCACCAAAAAAGGAAAGAGAGCTGCCATTTATTTAGCTTTGCTCTCTCCCATCCAAGACCAAGCTGATCTCTAAACAAGCATCCAAACCCGAAGCTCATTAACTTCGTGTGTGCCTCAATAAGGTGAACACTACAATGATGTACAATTACATGCTAATAAGTCAATGCCCAAGAGCCCTGTAAAACAACTGCAAAGGGCCAGGATTATCACAGTATGCAAATGTACCAGGAAAATCATTACCTACTTAGTCCCTTTCATTTTGGTGGGTTTAACATGAGAAGAATAATCCATGCTACTAGACGAGATTTCATTTTACAGCTGTAGTAACCAAGTACATAAAAGCCTGAATCTGTCCCAATAGCTTCTAAAAGATTTTTCCCATAGTGTCAGAGGCAAAAATAATGAAATCTTGCAAATGTACAGTTAATAGGACCCCAGTGGACAGTAACTTCAAAAATGCATGGTCTATAAGACATTAAAGGCTTGATTTTAGTTTCTGCACTGTTCCTGTTAATAACAATGTCTAATTAAAACATCTGTAAAATACTGATAGTTTTAATTTTACATAAAATTTCCAAAACAACTGTTACACAGTATAATAGGCATCTGCAATGAATAGGTTATTAATGGAAATATTATTTTAAATTAAAATCAGGTTCTAAACTTAAATTAGTCATCTCTGGCTAATGAAGAGAAAAAGAAGTCACCCGTGCTGGGAATAACACAGCAGATAATCTAGTTTCCAACATCCGTTAAAGCAAATTTACTCGCTCACTTAGGCTAAAGGACAATTTATTTTGCTTCTTCTG